TCTGCTCCAGAGGGCAGCCATGTTCTGGTGGAGCCTTCCAGCTTCTCTCTCTGACTGCCCGTTTGCATAAAGCACCCTGTACAGAAGACACAAATCAAAGGCATGTTTGAGCAACTTCTGAGTGCCAAGAACTAGGTTGGGTGCATTGTTCTACCTGGTCCCCACAGAAAACCTCTGAGCTCCCCTTATTGCTTGTGAGACCAAGAGATATTAAATGACTTGACCGAGGTTGTAAGAATCAGAGAGGTGCAATTAGAGTCTTGTCTGTATCTATTTTACTTTCTTTGTTCCTAATTGACAAGGTTGTACCTAATTATCAATACGTATAAAAGTAAAGAAATATATAGAGCAAGAGAAGTTAACCATTTGTTGTATTTTATATTATGTACAATTTTATAAACTGATTTTCAATACGTATGTAGTTCGTATATCATAAAGAATTCTAATTTCATTTGCTTTATAAAACTTATTTCCATCTTGCCACACTGTACCTCTTCCATGCCGCCCTTCTTGGGACCACAATACAGAACATATGTAGCTAAGTAGGAATATGGAATTCTGGGCCAAGATAAGTAAATGCTGGCTATGCAAGGAATAGAAAGGAGCAATGTGACTAGAAAGGAGTGATGTTACGTACTATATGTTGAACCACTCGAATAATTTCTAGTGACAAAGGTAGGACTTGAACACTTGTCAAGGATGGAAGAGAGAGCAAAACCAAGAAAGTGGTTTTTCCAGCTCACATAGAGTTTCATATTCTGTGCGTGTGGATATGTGGGGGTGGGGGGAAGGAGGCTGTGAGGGGTGCCTGGGTGTGTGTGTAGAAAAAGTGGGCAGGCAAGGAGGGAGGGTGGGGGAGATGATGGATGATTCTGGCGGTCTTTTGAAATGAGGTTGGTAAACCAACCAATCAATGTTTGGTGTTCTGTAGTTTTAATGTATTTGTGATAAATCATAGTAAAGTCTCCGGGACATGTAAACAAAGCTATATGGCTGAAAACGACTTTTTTCTTTTTTTGAGATGAACTTGTTTGTTACTAAAGACTACCCAAACAGTTTTATTTAGAAAGTTAGGTCATTACTTAAGGGTCCCTGGAGAGAGGAATGTGTTTTATACGTGTGTCTTCCACCCCTGCCTTCAAGTTCATCCCAATTTAGCATGAGTGTCCTGAGGAGAGTAAGTGACCAAGACGGTAAGTGTACCTCGGAGCAGACAGCCTCATCCGTCTTTCTCAGAGTGGCTGGAGGCCTTAAGTCACTGGCAATGTGGTTAGAAGCCCAGTGTTTCACGTTCTGTGACACCAGGTATTCTTTATATTTAAACCAAGCCACAAAAATCATGCTTATTGAGCTGATTCCAACTTACAGCAACCCTGCCTAGGGTTCCCAAGACTATAAATCATTACGGAACAGATAGCCTCATCTTTCTCCCTTGGAGCTGCAAGTGGGTTTGAACTGCCAAGGCTTTCCCCGCTAAACCAAGCCAACCAAACCTCATTGGCATCAAGTTGATTCCAACACACAGCAAACTTACAGGACAGAGGAGAACTGTCCCTGTGGGTTTCCAAGACTGTACCTCATGAGGGGAGCAGAAAGCCCCGTCTCTCTCCCACAGAGCATCTGGTGGTGGTGTGGTAGGGAGCTGGTGGAGGGGATGAAGCATCGTTTTCTGATTTGATGATATCTTTCATGTGTTATTTATCTGTGTATTTAGGTACCCCGAGGCTTACCTTACTTCTCAGTGGATTTTGGTCTGCAAGGAGGGTTTGCCCATGTCATTGAAGATCAACACAAATTTCCTCATTACTTTGGAAAGGTATGTGGCAATTTGGT